GAAAAATAAAATGAGATGGAAACTGAGAGGGAAGCAAACCATAAGGGATGCTGAGTTCTAGGGCACAGAGTTGCTGGAGGGGAGGTAGGCGGCGGGGGATGAGGCCACTGGAGGGTGGGCACAAGGGAGGGCAGGGGATGGAACGAACACTGGGTGTTACAAGCAAATGACAAAGCACTAAATTCTACCCCGTGAGGTTATGGGGAAAAGCTCAATAAATGGGTGTGACTGTTTTGCAGATTTGAGTCCAGGCCGAAATGAGGTAAGAGTCGATAAGCATTTCTAGGGTCCTCTTCCTCTTCCCGGTACAGAGAGGGAGACACATCCCAACACATGGGGATCTCCCCGGTGCGACCCTTACGCCTTTTGGAGCCTTTCCCATGGCTGTGCTGTCCCTTCGAAATATTGTGGGGCGGCAAACTCCACTCTCCTGCTTCCTCTTAGGGTCCCTTTTGGCTGGTGCTGAGAGTTAAGTCGATGTAAGACAGATCGACAGGAGAAAAAAAGCAGACCAACTGTGGAGTCCCATTCTGCAAGATGCGGGGCCTTGAGAAGGAATGAGCCCCCGGAGAAGCGATGGGAGTCGTGAGCTTTGCTGATGGGTTGAACAAGGAGAGGCAGTTGTAGAAAACGTCCGCGGCTGTATGGGGAGACTGAGGAAGACAAGAGCCTTTTAACAAAACCTGCGCAGAATTCTCGGTCTCCACTTCTCATCCCTGATGGTAAGAATGATTCTTTCTTTCTGGCACTGGGAGGACATGTCTCCTACAGGAATTTCATCTCCTGCTTTGAAGAAAAACAAGAAAGGTAAGAGTGTTTTTGTTCGACTTGCTGTTTTTCAAGTGTCTTTAACTTGAGGTAGGCAGTGTGCCCCGGTGGCGTATTTCCAGACAGCATGTTCGGAACGCCTCCCCCTGTAGCAGGTGCGAGAGGGGGCTGTCCGGGGGAGGAGCAGGGCCACGGGACCGTGCTGACCCAGTGGGATTGCAAGAGAGACGGACATTGACTTTCTCTAAAATATCTTTTGAGCTGGGACAGTTCTATTCATGACTACCCCATTTTTTAAAATTCTGTATGATTTTCCAGTGGTAGCACAGTTAATTCCTTTCAACAGCAAGCTGCTGAGGAGAGGGAAGATTTTTATAGGGTCTCTAGGAGGATTTTTACAAATTCATGATCTGTGTTCCTCCACTGATCATTATTCTGATAACATTGTTTTATGATGTTAATCAAACAAGGAGACCTTTGGACTGAGGTGGTTTTAGGGTTAGGTCGAGAGGTTTTGTTGCTGCCTCGTGGATAATAAAACAGCAACATCCAAGAATAACCTGCCATTTTATGTAAAAATTTGTGATTTAAAAAACTTCCAACATGGTTGATTTCCCAACTACCAGAAAATTATTTTTAAACCCCCTGATAAAAAGACCACAGGGCCTTACGGCATGACTTTGCCCAGCTGGCCAAAGAACCCAGCCTTATTCGGAGTTTGGGCTCAGAGCAGGATCTTAAACTAGGCAGTCAGCTGTCACCTGCTCCGCACTGGGGAGGCCATTCTCCTGATAAGACCCTGGCCACTCCAAAAAGGAAAGTGAGCTTGCAATGACCCAGCCACTTTCTTATCTAGCACAACTTCCTCGTGCCTGCTCCCTTCTGCCTATAGAGCCTATAGAAGTCCGTCCTTTTGTGCACACATCGGAGCTCCTTTCTACCTGCTGGGTGGAGGCTCCTCGACTCACACATCATTAAATAAAGCCAATAACATCTATAAAATTTTCTCGGTGGAATTTTGCTTTTTAATCCCCCCGGAATTACTTTTTAAACTGCCATCATTTGGTAGACTCAAAAGAATGGGCCTCCTTCTCAGAAGGGAGCTTAGAAAAAGGAGCCCGCGGCCTTTGAGAATGTCTGCAGCCCCAGGCGCATTCCCAGGGAGAGCCGGCACCCGGCCCAGGAGGTGCATGTTCTTGTGTGAGCTCCTATCATGTCGCTCTACTGTTACTGAATTTCCATCCGGGCTCCCTAACCGTTGGACACCTTCTGGGCTTATGAAGAGGAGCAGGGACTCCGGAAAGCCCAGCCGTGCTTCTCAGATGCCCCCAGCCCCGTTGGCAGGTGCGCTGCTGAGTGTTAAGAAAGGACACGGCATGGTCTCCTGCCCAGCGGTTCTGTGAGATGACCAGGCAGACACGAGACAAACTCAGGAAGAGAGCTGCACGAAAAGCACAACGGGCCCATACCCGAAAAACCCAGACAACATCGCCTACTGTTTAATCGACGTCAAGGAAGGAAAAATCCAGCTTCACGAAAACGTAAGATGTGTTTTCTTTTTATTGTGTACAAAACCAAGCGTACAATAATTTAACACCAAATAACAAACATGCTCGACTGGGCCAGGCCGTTTGAAATGGACCCCTGGACACAGACATGAAGAAATCATAAATACTGCTTCTCTGTTACCTTGAAACACAATACCACCTAGAGTTTTCTATTTTTAACTACTCAAGTAAGTGAGGGTAAAGAGGAAATAGACAGTATTTAAATCATGAAAGGTAGAGATTGTTCCATCTTTCTGGAAACTAGCCTACTGGCGTAAGAACCAGGACAAGCCTCCGTCCTTCCAGCCCGTAGCTGCCAGGAGACCCGTGGCGCTCTGATCTGGTCCACACAGGCTCCCCCCGCCGCCCCGCCCGTCAGTTATGATCCTTCAGCTGGCCTGGGCCTTGAGGAGTTGAGAACTAGTCTCGCCCCAGAGAACCGCAGCTGATACTGATAGGTTTTTGCAGTTTGTTTCATATGCTTTTGTATACTTTCACAACTGATTCTAAACCTTCAATAGTTCTTAATTTTCTCTACGCTTTTTTCTTAACCTTGGATTATTTTAGTTGGTTTAAACACAACACGTATGTCAACAACTCCCAGAAATGAGAGGCACTTCTCTGGAGACAATGACAGGTCCCCAGACTAGCAGGACCCTGGGTGGCTCAGAAGGGACCACCCTCAGGAGGCCAGGACTCCGCTCTGGGGCACAGTCTGCAGGGGCAGCAGGATTAGGGTCTGCAGCATTAGGACAGGGGGCTGTATCGGGAGGGGCTAGGAAATCATGGGAAGGAAATTGTGCTTATTTTCTGTAGTGAGGCCCTGCTGGTCATCGGGGGCTCTGATCCAGCAGCAAGAATCCTGCTTAAAATTAACCGTCAACCTGAGGCAAAAATGTGAGTAAGCAAAGTCACTTTTTCAGGCTTTTCAAACTGTCATAACATGTGACATTATAACTGTTCCCCAAATTAGGAAACAGACTTCAGTTCAGAGCACAAGGAACAAATGTGACATCCGAGGCACCGCCTCCCAGTTCTTAACCAGGATGGTCTTCAGCTCAGATGTCCACAAGGAAGAGTGAACATGGAGCCTTCACCCTGCAGGGCCTCCCAGAGGACCCCCGGCACTCCTGGAGAAGGCAGCAGCTCGCCAGAGACCCCTTAGTATTAATAGCGGGAGTGCGTGTATGTACATGACGCGCTTACAGAGACTCATCGACCCTGAAATGTTCTAAAGAGCCGGTGGACGTCACAGCCGAGAAGGCATCGCGAATGAGGGGGCAGCGCAGGCAAAGGGCACGGGAGACGCCACGCAGCAACCACAGGAAGGCGAACCGAGCAGCGCTAGGGTTTCTACCCGCAGTCCATACAGTGAGTGGAAACGTCACAGCATAACTGAAAACTAGGGAAATGAGGTCCACTAGATGGGCGTCTTCGTCTATATAAAAAGGTACAAGATCTTCATGAAAAAACACACTCTCTCCAGCAGGCTGGTGTGGAAGGTAAAGAACATAAGACAGAAACTGTGAAAATCTAGAAGTCGAGTCGTGGGACAAAAGAAAACAGCCCTAAACACCTGTATATGTTGTTTCATATTAGTAAATTCTGATTGTAAAATGGGATCTTTACATTTAACTTGTGCGCATTACTTTATTTACGAATGTCTCTTAATCCTTATCCTATTAACTGAAGGGCCTTGGAAAACATTTGGCCTAAAGGTGAAAAATACAGAAACACGTATGGATGAAAGCAAATAATCATTTCAAGAGATAAATCGGCTTCCGTGATTAAAACATACTGTATATCCAGTGGTCCACCAAAGGTTTTAAAGATTTTTACGTTATTAACAGAGGCCTCACAGTGCGACTGAAGGCCCACGTAGACCCGGCTTAGTGGTGGTTAAATAAGAAGCTTCTAGAAGAGTCGGGGAGCCACAGGACCCACTGTTTGTTAAGAAGACACCCCCCCAATCTGGAAATGTGTCCCCACCCCTCTGCCCTGAAGCAAGGTGATAAAATCCTGCTCTTGCAAAGTAAAACACATCATGTCCTTCCTACAGCAGGACCTAGGTCTGGAATCAGTAATGTGACGCCCGTGACAGTCACAGTGCTCTCATGTGTATCTACAGTTCGTGGCAGGCCTTCCGTGCAGACTCCACAAACCGTGGCTTTACTGCGTACCTTTTCCAGAAGCCACACATATGCCAGAGTCGCTTGGGTGCCAAGTGCTCCGCTCTGGGCTCCCACCAGGCAGGAAGGGTTCTGCTGAGACCCACTGGGCACTGCTTTCACCTCTGGGTAGAGAACACAAAGGTGGATTTCACCACCACCTCTGAGTTTCAAATGCCTTAAAAAACAAAACAAAACAAAAAACTGTAAGAATATTAGATTCCACTGTCTGGAAAGAACAAGCAGCTCAGTGTTCCATGACTTTGCTCCAGAAGAGGATCCCGAACGAGAGGAAGAGCTGTGGCCCCTCCTGGGCCTGAAGTAGACAGGATTTCTGTCTGGACGGTTTAGGAGAAGGGCACCGAAAACCCTCTTTCAAACGTCTCAGACTCTGCACAGTTGAACACAGTACGCAGGACCTTCTACTTGTAGGTACCCCGGCCGGGGGAGCTGGAGGGGAGCTGGGGGGGCAGCTGGGGGGGGAGCTGGACGGTGCCGCCGCTGGGGTGTGCGGCTGGCGGCTGGCAGCGGCGTCCAGTTCAGACCGGTCTTTCCCAGTCATTGTATGTCGTTATATGGCGCAGACCTGGGTTCAAGTAGCTAAAGGGCTCTCATGTGCTTAAGATTGCCGGCACGAAGAAAGGCTCATTGAAAGCCACCTTTCCTTGCAAATAAGCCCCAGCCGGCTGCACCACGGGGTCACCCTAGGACTCGCCTGTGGGTCGCCAGAAAACGTCCTCGGACTCACAGTGTGCCAACCTTCGGACGAGCTCTGACGTTTAGTGCTCTGCGGGACTTTGCAACGCATCATTTCGGTTCTTACTTGAATTTGTACGTGCTTGGGTTTACTCCATTGGTTTTGGGTTTCTTCTCGCTGGCTATGGCGGCGGGGACACAGCTGTTTGCTCCGCCTTTCTTCTTCAGGCCCGCGTGTGCCTGCGTTCTGGCTGCCCCGCTGGGGGCAGCGGAGTCTCGGGGGGTTGCCCCCTGCGCGGGAGCCCTGGGGAAGCCGCCACTGCAGGGCGGGTCCCAGCGCTGGAGTCTGGGGCTCTTACTCACTTTCTTTCTCTGCTCCTCCGTCCTCGCGTCAAGGGCTGGCTTCTGAGAACTCGGCCTGCTGGCCCGAGGCGCACGGAGGCCTTTGGCTGTGTCAAACGCGTAATAGGACGGTCGGGCTTCTTCTGGGTGCAGCTCCTTCCTCCGGGAAGCACCGGGAGCGCCCGGCTTGCAAGCCCCCTCCTGGGGAGGCCTGGCCGCAGCACTGGCCACCAGCTTGCTTCTGCCGGGGCTTTTCAGAGCCCCCGTGGACATGCCGGGGACGGTGGGAGGCTTGGCTTTGGCGCCCTTCCCCTTCTCACTTTGGACGGTCTGCATCTGCAGCCACTCGAGCTGGACCAGCCTGTCGATGTACCTGGCGAGTGGCCCTACAGCGCCACAGCGAGCTGCGGGCCTGGGCTCGGTGCCGGGTGGCACGGCCAGGTCGCGAAGGTCCCAGGAGCTGAACGGGGCGGGCAGGAAGTCTGCATACTGGTAGGTGGGTTGCGCGCCGCCGGGGGCTTCAGCTTCGGCGTCTGGCTCCAGGCCCGGGTCCGCAGCGTGGATCTCCTCCGCGCGCAGGTGCAGCTCCGGGGGCGCGCGCACCGACGGCAGCAGGGGCACCCGCTCGGAGTCGGATAGGTCGCTGGCGCTGTCCTCATCCTCGCCCACACCCTCCTTCAGGATTTTCATGCACTGCAGGTCCAGAAACAGCTCCTTCCCCGAGGCGCCCCGCCCCTGGGGGCCCGGTGGGCTCCTTTTGGGTTTTCCTTCTGCGGACCTGCTGTCCTGGAGTCCGTCCTCGGGAGGCTGGGAGGACCCGAGGGGCACTTGGGATTGACTCTGCCTCTTTCCTGAAGGTTTTTTTGAACGTTGTACTTTATTCCAAGACGGGCCAGCATTCATATTGCTGTGAGAAAGAAAACTGTAATTCTTAGTTCATAGGACACAAAGAGGTCTGGCTGTGATTAAACAAGCAGGCTCCCCTGGCTGTGGCCGATGCTGTCCCTGGGAGGGGCAGTGGGCCACCCTGGGCTCTAGTCAAGAAACACTGCAGGGCACAGGGGCCAAAAGAAGTTGCACGGATTTGGTCTCATATCAAATAGTATCACTTCAGAAAAACACTGACATTTCTTAAAGTGCTTATAATTTTAGACCAGTCAGGTATACTTTAAAAAAACAACACCACCACCACCAGTTTGGAGAAAATCTATCCTAAACTCTCCCATCTGTTCTGCTGTTGATGAACAGTGTTTAATGACCCTAGTGAGTAAAAGCCCTGGTTTTCTTTCTCAAGTCTACTTTCCATGAAAAGTAAACAAGGCGTAAAATGCAAATTTTCTACAACTTAATCACCGATCAGTGGTGATTCTGAGCCCTTGAATCTAATCTAATCTAATCTTAATATGAGAGAGTATAGCACAGACAACCTGTACATTTAATCGAAAGCTTACTAAAGTATTCTCAAATAGGAAACACATTCAAGAAAACTTTAAAAGGAGAGAGAAAAAAAATATCACAGGGTGCTGTAAAGCAGAGCATGAATGAAAACAGGATTACTGCTGTCTTGTGAATTGTGCAGAAAAGGGAATGATGACTACCAGAGCAACTGCCTCCCCCCCGCCGGCGATTTACTCTGAGGGAAGATCTCCTATCAGAGTTGAAAATACTTTCTTTTCTGTGTATTTACCTAAAACACGGCATCTCACTAGGATTCACAATATCTCTCAGGAACCCAAGTCAGGTAGGGTAAAAGCAAATGAGTGTTAATATGCTTTCTGGAAACCTCAGAGGTCCACTGGTCCTGTGGTTTCTACCACAGTAAGCAATCATTTGAAAATACGTGATTTCTTAATAAATATGAAAGGTGTTGAATCATGGCCAATAAACTAACATGTGCTCAATATATGTTGCAGAAATGGAACTCATTTGGAACTCAGATGGAGCTCATTTGGAACTCATAACCGATCCTGTTATAACTCTTGTTGACTCTGTCAGTGTACATCAATAAAAGCGATTATCAGGATCCTTTTTATAAAAAGGGAAACAGTCATAGAAGGGTAATTAAGGGGCTTACCCAAAACGATAGGTTCTGCTAACGGTGGCAGAATTATGACTTCTGGAATTCTTACTAACTTGTAATGTTTAAAACCACTTTGCCAACTCATTTCTGTTGGATAAAAAAATGTAAATACAGATTTCTTCCCCACAGACATTATTTTTTTTTTTTTCCAGCCACACATATTCGGCCTGGAGAACTGGTATCATGGGCCTTTTGCACGATAAAGCAATTAAAATCATTTACCTGCTTTTCTGATGACACTTCGTCACCCTATTCCCTTTCTTGAAAAAATCAGACGGCTGATCATCTTCTAGGGTTTGATGGACTGTCTAAAAAACAAACATGCTTTTTAAAATAATAATTGAGGTAAGATAATAAATTTAATAATTTAGATAAGATAACAAATACCATGACAACACAACACAAAAAAAACAGCAGAACAAATCTAATAAGGTTTTCCCTCAAAATTTACATCACCTTTTCTGTAGTGCTTGAAATATTCTTGCTCAATGTGTTGGCAGATGATGACAGCTGGGGAAGTGACTTCTTTATTCCTCTTATATTTGGAAAGGACGACTCACCACCGGAACTGGAAGCAACAGAACCCTGTCGGTAAGTATGGATTGCAAAGGGTCCCGCCCCCAGGACTGGGCTGGCTTGCACTGGTTTGTTTTGAAATATTTGCATAATATTGAAATGGGGGGGGGGCGGGTACTGCCTTCTGTGTACAGCTTCATCTTTTTTGCTTGTTTGTTTTTCACAGTGGATATTAGATACAAAATCACACAGCTATAAATGTTGCCTATGGAATCCTTCCCTCTCTTCTTACACACACACACACACACACACACACACGAGTTTCCTCAGAAATGTGTGGGGCTAATTAATGATTAAGATTTGGTATTACTCCAATCTCCCATGTCCATTCATTCATTCATTCATTCGACAAGTAATTACAGGAGAGCCTTGAAAACGGCCAGGATTAGGCACACATCCCAGCTGTCATGGAAGGACCACTCTATTGGGGAAGCTCCCCTTTAATTCTCCCGCCTTCAGGATCACACCAGTCCATTAAAAGATTGTCAGTATAGTAATACAGATCATATAATGTTATCTCTGTGAAATTCCATTGACTCCTATCAAGAATGCTGCTTTCCCTGATCTTGAGTGGGTGGCCTACTAAAAGGACCCTGATTTGAAAGTGAGTACTTTCTTCCACAACACCCGGCGCCTCTGTAAAATAGACAAGAGGTGGGATAGAAGACTTTTTTCTTCCTGAAACTCTGCTGTATTACTTCTCATCAGCGCCTGTGCCTTTCAGCCAGGGCACACAGGCTCTCACAATTAGTGACTTACACCATCAGCAGCTTGATTTATGTTAGATGTGGAGAATGTTCTTTACTGGGCCAGCCCTCCTTCAGTCGTTTGGTTTTCCTTCTGCTTTGTCCCCCGGGACGGTAAAAAGGAACCCTCTAGGATGCCTGGCCCCGCACTGCTGTCTGGAAGGCGCGTTTGCACCTTCCCCAGTGCATTTCACCTGGCACGCTCTACAGGTAAGCGGCGCCGTTTTCGGGCCCTTACAGAGTGAAACAGGAGAAAATTTTTGGAGGGGGCCTGCATCCTAAGATGCGGAAAGCAAGCTCGCGGTTTCCCTGGTGGCTAGCGCCCGCAGCGGAACAAAACTAAAGGTCTGAGACTCTGGCTACAGAAAGGCTTCCCCAGCGCCAGCGGCCGATTAAGGGCAGCGGCGTAATTCATCACAGGGCATTAACTCCGGTTCCCAGGTCTTCGGGCCCAGCGCCAGGAGACCGACAGGGCAGCACCGCCCCCTCCCCACCTTCCGGGGAACTGGCTGGCGGTCCCGGCGGCAAAGCATTGTGGGTGATGTGTGGTGGGACGCCAGCCCCTTGCGCAGCGAGGCTCCCTCGGTCTGGCCGGGGCTCCACGGTGCAGGGCAGACTTCCAAAGAGCTGGCTAGCCTACAGGCTTCCAATTAGCCGGGGGCCCGCTTCTGGAAAGGCCGATTTATGCGCACCCCCCAACCCGGTAACCCAGAAGTCCAAGGGCCCGCAGCATGCATTTTTCTCGTCCTCGCTGGTGCAGACACAGGTCTGCGATCGATAGGCGCAGGGACCCGGCAGATGCAGACAGAAATTGATCAGACCTGTTCGGCGATCGCCGAGGACACGTGACGAGGCCGCCAGGCAGCCTTCCCCGCGCCGGGCGGGGAGGCCGGACTGCGGCGCGCTGCGGCAGGCCGGGGGAGGCGGCGGCGCGCAGGGCTCCCCGGCTGCGCGCGGCGGCGTCACGAGGGGCGGGGCGCAGGCTCTCCGGGAAGTTGCGCCCCGACAAGTTGCAGCCATGTAAGTAACGCAGCGGCCGGGAAGGTGGGAGGGGCGGCGCCGCCCGCGTCCCCCCCAAGAACCTCGGAAGAAGCCGAAGGGAGGCGCTACCCTGCGCTCCCGGGGGGAGGGGGGGGCACGGAAAAGTCTCCCCCCGGAGAAAGCATTCATCTCTCGGCTGAAGATCTCCTTTCTCGCTGCAAGAAGCGGAAGACCTGCGCCAAGACTCGGGGGGCGCGGCGGCGGACGGCGGGAGCGCATAGCCGGCCCCAGAGGCTCCCTGCGGGCGGCGGTTTTCGGCGGACACTAAGGAATTCTGAGCCCGACGGGAACCCCGAGGTATCGAGCTCCGGGTCCGGAGGCTGCCCCTCGGTTCCGGCTTCCTGTCGCCCGACGGCTGGCCGGGCCATGTCCGGAGGCTGGGGCTCGGCGGCCCTGCCCCCGGCTCCGGGGTCCCGGAAGCCCGCCCCGCGGAGCCTCAGCTGCCTCTCAGACCTGGACGGCGGCGCCGCCCGGGAGCCGCGGCCCTGCAGGCCCCCCGGGAGCCCGGGCCGCGCGCCGCCTCCACCGCCGGAGACGTCCGGCTGCGACCCTCGCCTCCGGCCCATCATCCTGCGGCGGGCGCGCTCGCTGCCCAGCTCCCCCGAGCGCCGCCAGAAGGCGGGGGGCGCGCCGGGAGCCGCATGCCGGCCGGGCTGCAGCCGGCAGCTCCGCGTGCGCTTCGCCGACGCGCTGGGCCTGGAGCTGGCCCAGGTCAAGGTGTTCAACGCGGGCGACGACCCGTCGGTGCCACTCCATGTGCTGTCGCGCCTCGCCATCAACTCGGACCTGTGCTGCAGCAGCCAGGACCTGGAGTTCACCCTGCAGTGCCTGGTGCCCGACTTCCTGCCGCCCATCGAGGCCACCGACTTCAGCGAGCGCCTGGGGCGGCAGCTCGTCTGTTTGGAGCGCGTCACCTGCTCCGACCTGGGCATCAGCGGCACGGTGCGTGTGCGCAACGTGGCCTTTGAGAAGCAGGTGGCGGTGCGCTACACCTTCTCAGACTGGAAGAGCGCGCATGAGGCAGTGGCCCGGTGGCGCGGGCCCGCGGGCGCTGAGGGCACGGAGGATGTGTTCGCCTTCGGCTTCCCGGTGCCGCCCTTCCTGCTGGCGCTGGGCTCGCGCGTGCACTTCGCGCTGCGCTACCGAGTGGCTGGGGCCGAGTACTGGGACAACAACCATGGCCGCGACTACAGCCTCACGTGCCGCAACCACGCGCTGCACATGCCTCGCGGGGAGTGCGAGGAGAGCTGGATCCACTTCATCTGAGGGTGGCCCGGCCCGGCCCGGCCCGGCCCAGCGGCAGCGGTTCCCTAGCCAGGCTCTCCCGTCCCTGCGGTTACCCTTCCTCACACCCCACCGCCAGCCTGAGTCTTCTCACTTCACTTCCCGCGGCAAGGTCCCTGGGCGGTGGCCCTTCCCGTCTTCTACTTGAAACGTCTGTGTCCCTAGGTCTAAAAAGTAGCCTCAGGTGGCCGGAAGGCCGAGTCGTATAACGCGCTGGGGGAGGGTGCTGGGTGGGCAGATGCATGGCTGGGTGGGCCCTTCTGGAGAAAGCCCAGGTGGGGTGGGTGGGGCGGGTGGGTTGGTGGGCTTCTTGGAAAGGCCTGCGTCCTCCTGCTAGGAAAGCCTGTGGCTTTTGCATGTATTCTGACTGGGTCTCTGTAAACGTAGCTGTTATTTATTATCATTGTGATGTTGGAACATTTTACCCTTATTGGATGCCTTCTCAGGAACATTCTGGATTTAACAAGCTAAAAAATAAGTCCTGTGTGTCTGTGCCCATTGCAAACAGAATGTACAGTGTGACTCCCATCATGGCCCCTTGAGGCGTTTCTGCCCTGGGACAAGGAAAACCTGAGACTAGGTTGCTTGCCAATGTCTGTAGACTTCTAACAGTGGGAAACTATTAATAGGCAAGAAATTTATGCCTCATCATTCATCATACAGCCATTCCTGGGAGTTCAGGCTGCCCTGGTTAGGCCATGTGTCTTCTACATCAACAGCCAAGGAAGGGGGAAAAGCCTGACTTTCAAAACTAGCAAAACAGTCCCTTCTCTTGCAGTCTCTCCTCCCACTTCCTCTGTTCCCCCCTCTTCGTCTTTGATAATTATGTATCTGCATGTTATCAGGCCGTTGTTTAGGCTTGAGACGACCTAAACATTTTAAGAAATTCTGCCTTAAGTTATTCAATTTTCAGGCAATTCTATAGAAAAATTTCAGGCAACAATGCCCTCTGCAATTACCTTTTTGATGACTAAGGTGACTCCTTTAATGTCTGCTTAAGTGTCAGAAAATTCCAGCAGTCATCCTTCAGAAATCAGGTTATTAAGTGGAACTGGCAAGTGTTTTCATCAGTAGCTGGAGCCCTGCAGGAAAAATCATCAGTATTTATACTTTTTAATCATTTTAAATTGTATTTATATTTTCCCAGTTTTATCAGCTACCTGCCAACTTTATTCTTTGTGCCTTCAGACAGGAGAGTTTCTAACATTGTCTGGACTTTTCCCACCTCCCCATTTTTAAAATGTTAAATGCTTTTCCTTCTTTGTTGTTTATCTCCAACCAAGAAGTCAAAGCCTTCGTGCCCTGCTGAATGCCAGGATGACTTAAAATTCCCAGAGAGCTGCTGATGATTTCTTTTGGTGCTGAGCAGTGGTCTCTCTGACAGCAGGTGCTAACATTGAGGTGTGGAAACCCAGCCAAGATGAAGAAGGCCTCCAACTTGTGAAGTTTGCTTCTAATACAGTTGAAACCAGTGTCATTAATTTGTGATAGCTATCATCAATGAATTGACTCTAAATTTTTGAATACTTATTGACATTTGTCAGATCGCTATGTAAACGATGTGTTTTGCCTTTTAACCAATTTGTTTTTATAATTGCAACTTACGTGTTTCTAAAATTCAAAGAAGAGGGATCGCTTTCTTTGGTACCTTTTGATAATAAGAACACTGAATTTTGATTTAAAGTGTTGTAATTCAATTGAACAACCGTTGGCTACTAGCACTGTGCACTACATTGACATGCAAGAGGGACGGAAGCCTATTTCCATTTCCTGCTGTTTAATTAACTGTCCAATTAGGTCAGCAAGCCTCTGAGAGCCTTGGCTGTTGTGTCCTTGGCCCCAGCCCAGAGTGCAAGACAACTGTCCAGAGCATTCAGGTATAAGAGTTAGAGCTACCAAATGTATTGTTGTATAAAGGCATGTAAAGAATCTTATCCATGTGAAAGTCACTTGTCAAAAAGGTTCTGCTCATGGAATATACAGTAAATGTTTTATCTTCGATAGTAAGAGAGCCTTAACGTGCCTTTAAAAAAAAAATCAACATTTAAAAATGTAAAAACTTAAATATACCTTCCTATTTGATAAAGAAGTTGATAAAGTTTAGCTTAAGGAGAACTTTCAGATCCTAAAATAGTTATATTGCTTAAATTTTAAAATTTTGCAGTGGATTGTGCAATTGTGGGGCTGTCTCCCCAATCATATTTGAAGGTCATTTAAGATTATTTCATTCAAGCCTCAATATTAAAGTATGTGCATAAATTGTTATCTGAGGTGTGTTTTTCTAATCTAATTATAGAAACAAGACTTTAGAAACTTCTTGTTTAAGTCATTTCATACGTAAGTCTTACTCTTTCTAAAACACTATCAGATTTAGTGCCTTGCCAAAAAAGGGAAAATTGTAGGACTGCCCCTCAGCCTCAGGAGCACAGTTGTGTATGTCCTTGAGAAACAAGTGCGGTCTTTTAGGTCGGGTCCGTGTTAACATCTAACGCAAGTTCTAAGGGAGTGTAGGGTGTGGGAAAACGATTCTTTCAATGCTTACTAAGTTCTGTGTGTGAAGTAATGAGTGTCTATCTGCCCCCCCACCCCCCTCTGCGTTGTGTCCCTCACCCAGCACAAAGCCTGGCACTTAGGGGAAAGAAACTAACATTTACTGTGCACCCATTCTTATTGGCTTGCCCCCAGTGATAGGTGCGGATGCAGATGATTTCGTTGAACTCTGAAAATTACCTGATAGATAATGCCCCTGCTTTCTTAGCTGATGAGAATGAAGCTCAGAAGGGTTTCAGCCATTCTTTTGAAGACCCACAGCTAGTAAGCCTCATGGTCAGCCTTCAAACCTAGACCAAAATCTACCTGCTCTGCCTTGTAACAGGAGGTGCTTGTGAAATTTAATTGGAAATCCAATTATGATTGATTGATAAGGTTTTTCCATCTAACACCATACTCTAAAACCCTACTTAAGAACAATTCAATTAAGATGATTGCTTTTATCTTCCATGTGGTAGTGTATAAACCCCCATGCTTGCCCGATCCTTGAAACAACAAAAGCATTCTTATTTTTCTTCTCTACTAGAAAGTGGTAAGACCCGAGATCAGGACTTCAACTTCCGAAGTGATTGTCTGCTGGGTCCGTTTCGGAATTGCTTCCTATTTTGCACAACAAGCATCCATTGATCTTATCATTTAAACTGATAACTTAAGTGGAAATGCTCCGAAAAGCCTGGGGATACAACTGACGATTGTGCTCAGTACCACGCCTTCAGGCCTTCAACCTAACGTCCCCCAAGGGTCTGGGGTTTGGCTAGTGAGGGCAGCAAACCCTGGCACCTCCTGCGTCTAGGAAACCGGAGTGGGGCATAGCCCCTGGGAGGGGGTGGCCCGGGGGGGAGTGGCCCCCCGGTGGGCGTGGCCCCGGTGGCACGTGGGCTCCCTCGGGGGAGTGGGCCCTTGCCCGCTCGCAGGGTTCGCAGGTGTGTCCGGGTCCCCGCGACCCCGTCACGCCATCGCCGTCCAGGGGGCTTGTGGGCAGCCTAGAGGTCTCCCGGGGCCGCCCACGCCCTGCTGGCCGGCGTTCTGCACGGCGGCGACTGGGGGCACCCGGCGTCACCACCGGGGGAGGGCAGTGCAGGCCGGGCAGGGCCGCGGACGCGTCCTCTGGGGCCCGGGCCCGGGCAGCGGCCGCAGCGCGCAGTCCACTTACCCTGCCCCGCCCACCGCGGCGCCCCTGGCTCCGGCCTCCGCGACTCCAGCGTCACCGTCGGATAATAGGGGCGGAGCCTGAACTGCGCGCTGCGCTGATTGGACGCGCTTCCGAACGCACGCGGCGCTGATTGGTCGGATGCTTCCCGCCCTCCGTCGGCCGCCTGAAGAGCGGAGACTGGAGACGCGACGCGAGGCGGCGGCCGTGGCGGCGGCTCCGGGGGCCGGACGGGGGAGCTTCTTCCAGCCGCAGGTAAAGCCGGGCGCCGGGCCGGGCTTCCCTGACGGTGGGGCTGCGTGGCGGGAGGCCGCGGCGCCGAGCCGGTCTCCGGCAGCGGCGGGTGGGCGAGCGTGGAGACTGCCGGCCTCCCGACGGTTGAGGCGGAGCCGTTGTGGAAACGGCCGGGGCGGCGCGGCGGCGCGGCTGAGAGGACGACTCCGGCCGGCCGGGCAGGGCGGGCCTCGCGCCGATCGCGGGGCAGGCAGGGGCCGGGTCCGCACTGAGCGCTGGGCGGCGGGCGTGAGCGGCGGGCGGTGGGTTGTGGGCAGCGTGGGGCGGACGCGCGGGGCTGACCCGGGCGGCCGCCTCAGGTGAGGCGAGTCCAAGCCCCGCCCCCTGCGTCCGCGGTTGGCTGGGCCTGCGGGGCGGGGCGGGGCGGGGCCGGGGCGGGGGCCGGCGGGGCGGGGCGGGGCCGGGGCCGGGGCCGGCGGGGCGCAGGCTCCCACCTGCCGTGGCGGGGTTGTCGGCGCGCGCGGTGCTGGGTGGGGTGGTTAATGAGACGCGTGCGTGCGCGGGACTCCGCCGCGAAGTCGCGGGTGTTCGCTGAGCCTCGGCGGGTCCCTTCTAGGGAGGGGCGAGGGCGCTGCCCTCCCCGGTCCCTGTCCCCGGTCCCTGTCCCCGGTCCTGGTCGGCCTCGGGTCCGTTCGTGAACGCGAGCGGTCGGTGCGGGCTGGAGCGCGCGCCTTGTACTGACCCGCGGGGCTTTGGGGCCAAGTGTGCGCCTCCTGTGGGTTGTCGGGTGGTTCTCAAAGCCCTGGGCCTGTATCTGCGCGCGTGTGAACGCATCCGTGCCCTCACCCCGCATAGGCTGTGACTGCATTGGGAATGTGCTCACCGGAAACATGACGTCGTATAAACTGTGTTTCCTTTGGGGGTGTCTGGGTGGCTTCGGTTACGTGTCCTTGATCTCAGCGCAGGTCTTAATCAGGGTCGTGAGATTGGGCGCCACGGTGGATGCGGAGCCTACTTTAAAATTTTCCTTTCCTTTAAAAATTTTTGAATTATTAAAATTCTCTTAAGATTGGGATAGAATATGAATTAGTAATGAACATTTGTCTTAAATTATTTAAATAATACTGAAACTGTTTTTAATAATTAAACTTATTAAATGTTTTTATGAAAATATTTAGTCCCCGTCCTCGTTTACTTGTCCTCCGCCACTGTGGAGTCCATGTTGTGTCCCCGCCGTCCGTGCCGACGTACACGTGTGCGCGTGAAAGAGCAGTGCGAACCGCTCAGAACCGCAAAATGTTCAGTCGCCACGTGCAACTGTTGCAGATACTGT